GAGACCTGAATGAGGCCGATATACTCCTCACCCACCTTGCCAGCCGGATCCGGGAGAGTCTGGCGACGCGGATGCCGAAACGTGAGCGAAGTCCACCCAGTTCTCCGCCTCAATTATCGCCCCTCAAGACGCCCCGCAGTGATCGTCCGGTTTCTCCGCCACCTAACCAAGATCGACCCGAGATCGAGGGCCCAGAAAGGCCAGGAGCACCAAGATCAGTCTGAGATCGAGGGCCCCGACGACCAGGGGCATCAAGATCAGCCCGAGTTCGAGGGTTCGGATGACCAGGAGCATCAAGATCAACCCGAGTTCGAGGGCCCCGATGACCAGGAGCTCGAGGATAAACGCGAGAGCCCTGGTGACCACGATTCCCCTCCTCCGGATCACGGCCCTACGACACCTCCTCCCTCGCCTTCACCGGGTCGCCGTCCCACGACTCCTCCCCCTTCACCTCCCAGGTCTCCTGGCGGAAGCCCAGGTGGTGGTTCTAAGGGGGGTGGTTCCCCAATCCAGCTACATCCACCGTTATTTTCCGCTGAGGCCAGTATTCCTCATTATTCTGATCTCAAGCTCTTCACGGCGGCCGAGATCTACCCATGGGACCCGACCATCGTGGGAACAGTGCCGATCATAGCCATGATCCAGGCTACTCTAACAAAACGGATGCCGATCCCGGCCAATTTCCTGTTTCCCTACCGAGTCCCTCCTGTTCGGGCTCCCCAACCTGTGGTTGGTTACTGCTCGGGGTTGATCACCGGTGCCAACGTTTTTGGCTCTTATGGCTACCGAGCCGTGGCGCATGCTTGGCCGGTGTCACCCCACTCCCTTGACCTTCGATCACAACCTTCATCGGCGGGGGCAGACCCCTCTATGGCGGATCGCCTATGCGGCCCTGGAAAAAGATCACATGATTGCATATTGGGAATCGTCCCACTATCTCGAGATCACGTCGGTGATGGCCGCCGCTGACTCCGATCTCTTCATCTACCACCAAGATCGACGTCAGCGACGGATCCGGGCTGGAGAGAGTTGGAGTAAGCTGTTGGGGGATGTTGTGCTGATGATGAGGGCTAAGTGGGCTGACATCGACCTCCTGCTGGATCCCTATTTCTTCCACCTGCCGACGAAGCAGGATCGGGTGCGTTGGTATCCCGGATCGGTCTCCCGGGCAGCCAATCTCGCGCAACCAACCGCGAATCTCCCCGAGCCGATCGACTTGATCACGGCCTTGTTTGAGTGCGATCAAGCTGATCCCTGGAGGAATCACTACGGTTCTGTTCATCCGTCCCGGAATATCCCTCGCCTCGTGAACAAATTCAATCCCCCGGCGGCCCCTTGGTCGCCGATCTGGCTTCCACTCTTCGCCCACCTCCGAGATCTCCGATTTTCTCCTCAACATCCCATTTCGTCCTGGTCGATCTCGTAATTTCCTAATTCAGCCACATCTTCTGCTCGTTTGTTCTTTTCGTTGCCGTTCTCAAGTGATCTCTCTTCCCAATCGTCATATTTTCCGTTA